TGGGGGGGGGCGACACACCCCTAAGTAGAAACAGCTGCACTGACAGAACAACTGTCGGAGCTCTGCGCGGATTGCTTCGATCGGCGCCTGGGCCCCCCTGGCGGCGCCTCCGGCGCCGCCCATGGCGCGCTCCGCGCGCCAGGGAGGGAGGCCCAGCTCCGATCCAAGACATCCGCGCGGAGCTCCAAAAGTGTCTGTTCACGCAGCTGGTTATTATTGTGATGCCTCTTGTTGTCTTAAAACAGGCAGGGGCAATGCCAGTGGGGGATGGGCTCACGGGGGGTGTGCATCGACCCCAAAATGCCCATCAGTCGCCGATAGGGGTCCGTTAGCCCACCCTGTCGAGGAACACGTGGATTCGCCAGCGGGAGCCTATCGCCAACGTGTCGGAGGTTCCAGGTCGATGCAGGAGGAGGAGGAGGAGAAGGAGGAGGAGGAGGAGGAGGAGGAGGAGGAGGAGGAGGGGGAGGGGGATGGAAGGAGGAGGGAGGAGGAGGAGGAGGCAGGAGGGATGAGGAGGGTGATGGTGATGGTGATTGGTGATGGTGATGTGATGGTGATGGTGATGGTGATGATGATGATGATGATTGATGCTGATATGATGATGATGATGATGATGATGATGATGATGTGATGATACTGGATGATGATGATGATGATGATTGATGATGATGATGTGTTGATGATGATGTGATGTTGATGATGTGATAAGGATGTGGTGGAACATGATGAACATGTTGACAGTGAACTTGATGAACATGATGAACTTGATGAACATGATGAACATGTTATGAGGAGGAGCAGGAGGAGGAGGAGGAGAGAGCAGGAGGAGGAGGAGCAGGAGGAGGGGAGGGGAGGGGCGGAGGAGGAGGAGGAGGAGGAGGACGGGTGGCGGAGGGGGAGGTGGAGCAAGGAGGAGAAGGGGAGCAGGAGTAGGAGGAGAGGAGGAGGAGGAGGAGGTGGGAGGAGGAGGAAGAGAAGGAGGAGGAGGAGGAGGAGGAGGAGGAGAAGCGGAGGAAGAGGAGGAGGAGGAGGAGGAGCAGGAGTAGGAGCAGGAGGTGTAGGAGGAGGAGGAGGAGGAGGCGGGGCAGGAGGAGGAGGGGGAGGATCAGGAGGAGTCGGAGGAGGAGGAGGAGGAGGAGGAGGAGGAGGCGGACTCGGAGGAGGAGGCGGACTCGGAGGAGGAGGCGGAGGAGGAGGAGGGGGAGGAGATTTTTCTGTCCCTGAGCTGGCACCCTTTCCGACGTTCCCCCTCAGGGATCGAGTTGTCGGGTCAGGCGTTGCTCGGCCGCCCTCCCAACCTGGCCCCTCTTCGCACGGGCTGCCGTCTGCACTGGCAGCGGTGGCTGCCACTGGTCGCCGTCTCGCACGAGTTGTACATATGATCCGCTCCCTCGATCGGTTCGCCTGGAAGCCTTCAGTCGAAGGCGAGCGAGGGGGGGAATTGAGGAGGAGAAGGCCTTCTCAGAAGGCGGCGGGACTTTTCAGAAGCCCTCGCGCCTTCTGAGAAGTTTTGTTCTGCTTTCGGGGAAGGCTTAGAAAACTTCTCAGAAGTCCAGGGGACTTCCGAGCCTTCTAAGAAGGCACGCCCCTTCTCATTTTCCCCCCCTGGCTCGCCGCCTATTCAGGAAACCTTGAGTCGGTGGTTCCGAATGGTTCGCCCGAGTCCCTCGATCGGTTCGCCTTGAATCCAGCTGCCACCGGTTACCTTCTCCCTCTGGCTGCGCTGTGGACATGATCCGCCCCCTGGAAGGCCCTTGGTGCAGCGCCAGCTGCCACTGCGTGCCTTATCCCAAGAGGTGTCCCCTGATCTTGCCTTGTAGCTGATGGTGCTCTCACGCGTCCGCCGTCCTCACGTGAGCCAAGCCCGGCCATGTAGCTGACGCACGTCTCCCACGAGCGCTCCTTCGTGCAGTGCTAGGTGCTGCCGCCACCTGCCGTCTCCCACTCGCTGATCCCTGCAACCGCTGCCGCTGCCTTCCATCTCCCACCAGCAGGCGCTGCTGCTATTGTGGGCCCTCC